CAAGCCTTCTGGCAATGACGGAAGATCAGTCGAGAGTGAATACCACAGTGAAAGGGAACGCGAACGAAATGATTTCAAGTGGTCCGGAGATGACTAGCGGAATATTAGAATTACCACCAAAAAAAAATCCGTGGAACAAATTTTGATAGAGTGCAGGTGGTATATTGATGTGTATGAGCGAGGGAATATTGTTGAGCACATTATGGCGAGCCTGCCTGCTGCACCCATGCAGTTCCATACTTTTACAGGGTGAAGTAATAATATTGTTGGATTGGGTAGTAAGCGCGCCTTTAGAAAAGTTTTCCCGCCATACACGTGGCCAGGCGAACGCACGCGCCTGCAGCTGGTTGAGTAAACAATAATCCCCCATTCCATCTCTATCCACCGTCCGACGTCGCTGCTTCACCAGGCCTGCCTCCGTACTTCGCAGATCACGAGGCAAGCGTTCCGTTACTCGACCTTGCTTGGACGAATTCCGATAAGCTCTTGGCCAGCACTATGATCATTAACAACCCCCTTGTAAACTAAGCGTGCATTAGGTTGCCATAAACAATGAATGCCTTCTCCCATCTACTACGTCATAAGCGGCTCTGTATCTAAAATCCCAATTATCCCGCAATTATCACATAAAATCTGCTAGAAAGCGGCTGATTTTCCCGCGCAAACCATCTCCAGCGGACGCTTTTACTAGCTACACAGGGTGTTAGTCGAAGTATGCACGTGAAACGGAGAGATAAGACCCTAAAATGGGTAATTCCCGGCGGAATTTGTGTGTCCTATCTGCTTATCTCGACAGGACAGACCTGGTGAACATGCCTTCTACCATTGACCAATCATCGGCAGACACAACATTATCCTCCAGCGCATTTTAGCGGAAATGAGATAAATTTTTGACTTTTCAGAATTATTGTTGTCTGGTGACTTTTTTCGTTAGGCTACTATAGCGCAAACAAAGCATGACAATAACAAAATGGAGGGGCAGAAATCACTTTCCCACGTGAAACACGATCGCCGCGAACTTCTTACGAAAAATAAACTTATAGGAGAAGTACACCCCGATGTTATCTTGGTTTTAATCTAAAGCAGAAAAAACGAGTGAAACAAAATGAGTGAAAGTTTGATCAGATTCAATAGCCTTGTGCATCGCCTATTAATATCAAATGTGATGAACATGGCAAATATGGATTACGTAATCCGAACATTTCCTATGTGACATACAATAGGGTACCGAATTACTGAAATTGCTCTTGAATTGATTTTTCGGAAATAGATCCGATCGTGTCATAAAATAGCTTGGCTTAGAAAAATGATAATAATGAGTACATTCAAATTCATGGGCTTCTCGTATGAATCTTTACATTTTAAAATCCGATGTGAAGTTCACTTCCGTACTCTTTAGTGTATAGTCAAGTAATATCCAAACCAACGAAATAATAATTGAAAGAGAGAAAGTGACGACGAGGTTTCAGCTACCGATAAGAGGCGTTTTCAAATGAAGGGAAGGGGGGAGTGCCCACTTATTTATTTTTGTTTTGTTGTTTTGTTGGGGGGGGGGGGGGCGGGGGGCACATCCCTGTTTGCCAGTACATTTTTGGCGAATTTGGGGCTGATTTCAACATATTTTTTTTTGGCCGGGGAGCACGTGCCCCCTGTGCCCCCCCCCCCCCCCCCCCTGGATCCGCCACTGTTTAGGCTATGGAATTTTGAGCATTAAATATAAATAAAAAGTATATTCTCTCGGGAAATACTAAAAACTCAACCTTGATCAACCTGATCAAAATATACGTTGCTTGAGCTCTAACTGAAAATCACGCATTGCAACTTTTTAATATTTTGTTGGTGCGGGGTGTAAAATTTGCTAAAACTTTCTTGTGATGGTGTGTAATTAAAAATGAAACCTTCTTAATTTCTTTATCGGAAAAATTACGTCGAGTAATAATCATCAAATTTCATTTAGTACTGTTATTGACTGTGACATTCATACACACGACTATTATTACATCGTATCACGGGTTCTAGGACACCTACCCCCTGGACATCCATCCCCGGATAACCACCCCCAGTCAACAAACCCCTAGGACAACTACCCCCCTTACAGTTGTCATAGGGGGTGGTTGTCCGGGGTAGTAGTCTCAGGGGTAGTTGTCCTAGGGGTAGTTGTCCGGGGATAGTTGTCTGGGGGTAGTTGTCCTGGGGGTATCCTAGACCTAGATGGTGATTGCCCTAGGGGGTAGATGTTCTAAGGGGTAGTTGTCCTTGGGGGTAGTTTACTGGGGGTGGTTATCCGGGGGGTGGATGTCCACGGAGTAGGTATCCGGCTACGTGTTTCACGGGCACGTAATACAATGCCAGGGGTTCAGTGGCGGGTCCAGGGGGCGAATCTGCCGAGAGAGAGAGTGAAGAAAGAAAGGGGAAACGAAAGAGAAAAGAAGGTTTTTAAAAAAAGAGAACAAAGTGAGAAAGAGAGAGAGAGAGAGGGAGAGAAAATCATGATTTTTTTTTTTTTTTTTTTTTGATGGGATTGAAACCCACTCCACTCCATGCACCCACTCCACCGCAAACTGTATATGCGTAATGCCTACACAAACAGCTACAGATAGGAGGTGGGGCAATACGGCTTAGGCCCCTTTTGGGGGCGGCCTAAAAGATGGGACAGGAAAAAAGAGAGCGACTGAGTAAAAATCAGAAAATACAAATAAAAGAAGGTAAATAGATGAAGAAGAGAGGAAAAGAGAGAGAGAGAAAAAAAAGGGAGAATAAAGAAGAGGAAAACAAAAGAAACATGAGACTTGTAATGCACACATAATAATTATAGTATTGCCGATGATTTGGCACAAAATGAGCCTATACGAAGAATTCGGACGAAAGTAGAACAATAGGAAAAACGGTTCTAGGACACCTACCCCTTAGGACAACTACCCCCTAAGGACAACTACACCCTAGGATAACAACCCCCTAGGACGACTACCTCCGGCACAACTACCCCCCGGACAACTACGACGGGCGTTTTTTATGGCTCTTTTTGTGATGATTACAGGACTAATCCTATAAGAACTATTTTCGAAAACACAAATGAAAGCCATGAATTCACCTCCTACGCAAATCAAATACACTATAACATTCTTGTATAGGTGTTGTGTTTACAATGACAGATACCGCATGCATGTTTACATTCCTATTATTTGAATGGAATGTGTACGTTTCACATTCTTCCATGCACGTGCGTGTGTTGATTTGATGCTTGTTGATTTCGTGGGGTTCCCCTTGTTAATATCAGGGACTTATTTTCAGGTTTTGTGGCTTTGCGGTTGACCACATCGAGGGACTAAGAAGTTTCTTCATTCCACCGAGGGATACCTGTTGGCATGTAGGTCCACCCATTTAAGATATTCTCTAAAACTGGTAAAAGAATAAATATGAATTCGTGGACTAAGGGATTTGCATTTCTGACATGTTTTGGAATGGGATCAATGGTGGAAAGAGGCCTTGGTTATTCGTTCCGAGTTCACCTGTTACTTAAAATGCGAAATCATCAAATGACTGGGTATTCGTCTTTTACAGACAAGAATGAAATACATTTTAATTTATAATGATAACTCATTAAAGATATGATCGGAATTTATTTTCTTCGTTGGATAAACCCGATGGGATTGATATAGATTTTGTATAATGTTGTTTGTGATCAGGTTCGAGTTTAGAAGATTTCCATCCAGTATCATAAATATGTAGCTCTGACTCTAGTTCCGCGACTCGAAGTGAAATGTCGCCCTCATTGTGTACATTTGTATTTGTTCGTTCAGGTAGGGTACGTACGTAGAGGGGGGGGGGGGGGGGGGGGGGGGGGGACTTGATTTTACCCATGCAATGCCATGCCATGCTTGATATTATACTTGGTCCACGCTAGTACTACACGAATGAATCATAAACCACCTTGCTAGCAGAGCTCAGACTACAGACCCTACTTGCATGTGCTTGGACGTATTTCACAAACTTATGCAATTCTACTTTAATGCAGTCCATATTACTTATAATAATAGTCTACATTGTTCAATATACTTTTTCCAGGTCTGTAGTACAGAGTGTCCATAATTATGTTGGGGTTTAAATCCGGGGTTTAAATAATGTTCTATGAATATAAGCGATGGATTAATGATATGAGAATAAGGTGAGGGTAATGCAGTGCTTATTAATTTGTGTTCAATTTTTGATCAATATCTCGTGAATATTTCCGTTGATGTGACTCTAACACACTGATAAATATCAGGTATTTTCCAGATCTTCTTGATGCGTGTGATAGGTCAATTTGTTTGACTTGAAGCCTGCTCTGATCTTGAAACCATGTTGAGTATGTCTCTTTACCCCACAAACCAAAGTTTGATACCGTAAGATACTAGTAAACAAGAAAGTTTGCCTGCAGACATCACCCCATATCTTGTTTGATTACACCCTTTAAAAAGTCACTCACAAGCCGCTGACTCGGCTCATGTTTTCCAGTTTTACACATTGCTGTACACATCGAGACTGTACACACAGCTTCTAAGCCAGTTACAAACTCCGAAAATACGTCATACTACTTATTTGGTAGCCCTGCAGGAGCCGATTGGACAGTCAAAATGTAATATTCATAGGCTACCTGTTGAAGCCCAACCCACATGGGAAGGGATACTACGCACGACTACTACTGGAATGTGGTATGTTCGTAACTCTATAAGAAAAACGGGAATAATATCTAATTGTATTGTTTTATCTTGATTCTCTTAAACCTAGCTATATACAGCCGATTTTGAGGCCTGAAATAGTTTTTAAAAATCATGATAAACCCAGTTCAGCGAATGCGATTCAGTTCATTTCAAACAGTAGGCGCGTTAATAATGAGATTATCAAACACAAAATGCGGTAGGTGCTGCGTGCACATTTATAATACACGCCCACAATGCGAGTGCTGACTAAGCCCCGCCCATTATTTTTAACTCTCTGCTCCAGATCCACGCTTTTTCCCCCAAAACCGCAACCAGCTTAGCTTTTACATTTAACTTCGTGCGGCCTGCAAGTTGAGTACACAAGCAAGCTCGAAGCTAGAAATAGGGGTTCACCAGCGCTGTGAAGTTAGTGTAGCCAAATTTTTCTAACTTCTTCGCATCTCTCCTGAAAATGTCCACCGCAATGGTATCAGCCTTTTACGATGTTGGAGATATGTTGTTTAGTCATAAGGTAATTATTCAGACTGTTTCGTAGGTTTCACTATGTTGTTCGTAGGTTTCAAATAGTAGAGCTTCTGTGCATGTACTACTACTAAGCTATGTACATTTCACGTTCATTTCACCACGCTGAACAGTGTGCTGGAATGTAAGTGGGGGTAGTCTACACACACTTGTTGAATGTCCAGTGAAGGCATGTTATTCGTCGATGTATAGCAATGCACAGTAGGCCTAGATCTACAGTCAGTGGGAGTGTAAAGTGCATGCTGTTAGGTTTTGCACCTGCGAAGTCAGCATTATGTCAATAATGTTATTTTTAGTCAAACCAGGTTAGGCTAGCCTTAATAGCCTAGAATCTACTTAGACCTACTAGGCCTAGATTTCTAGGCCTACTCCTTACCTCAGGGTTAGAGTCTAGTTCAGTGTATTATTTTTGACATTGCCTGCATATTTATAAACTAAAATGCAACATCCCTAAGCCCTGTCACTGTTCATCATAATTTTTTCATGCTGTTTTATGCCCCAACTTTTTCCTATTTCTCACCTAATCTAATGACTTTTTTTGCTATCTTTCCTTATTTTGCAGAATGTTTCTTCACTGATACATGCCAAAACGCAGCTGAGAGGGGATACTCGAGCCGTAGGAACTCCTATAAATGGATCAAATGGAGCACATCTTCTTCGAAGGCATTCCACGAGTACAACTGGGTCTACAAGCCCAATCAGCACCAACCACCTGAACGGGAATTCACTGTTCACGCAACAGATGCAGATGGAAGCTGTGTACAACAAGGAAAATCTCAACAACAAGCCTAGGGACCGGGCTCTGAGTGAGAGCGATCGCAATAATCAAACCCGCAATCAGAACTCGAGTCGGTACAAAACGGAGTTATGCAGGCCTTATGAGGAGAATGGCACGTGTAAATACGGAGATAAATGCCAATTCGCTCATGGCATCCACGAACTACGAGTCTTGTCCCGCCATCCCAAGTACAAGACAGAGTTATGTCGCACCTTCCATACTGTTGGATTCTGCCCGTATGGACCTCGGTGTCATTTCATCCACAACCCTGATGAGAGGAAACTATCATCGCCTGGTCCTTGCAGCAAATCTCCCCGTGATCGCACCATCGAGAGGCCTAGGCTCCTGCACTTCCCCAGCGCACCCCTTGGCTCGACAGGTGGCGACCTGACACCTCCGCCCATGTCCATGTGTGATAGCCCTCTTCCACTCACCCCACCACCAGCAATAGATCTTCTTAGTCAGGATGAGTTACTTGCCACGCTTACCAACAACGCCATGACTTTGAGTCAGATGCATCATGACGTACATGGAGGACCACCTTTTTCTCCGTCAGCATTATCTCCTACCACCCTTCAACATGCCTTCTCTGCTGCCCCATCCTCCCCATTCATCCCCCTTCAGCAGATCAACGACGATCTCGAGCAATTTGCAGCACTTCGTCTGGCCAGTAGACAAGGAAATAATAGCGTGTTCTTCCCGCTGGACGAGCCTGTAGTCACCAACAACTACCGACCCCCATCACCACCTGAATCCTTGTCTGATCCTGAATCTCTAGCGGACACTACCATGACCTCTACATCTCCCACGGCCAGCCCGGTGGGGGCTAGACTTGGACGCTTACCCATCTTCAGAGGTATTTCCCAGGAAGACCAACGTTATTAGAATTATATCCAACCCAGACAAGGAGATAAACCTTGCTAAAAAATCACGCAAATTAATTCGAAGTCATTAATTTATCATGGACGTCTTTATAACTTTGTTTTTGTTCCTGTGTGGACTTACAAACATTTTGTATGATCTCCAAATTATTTGATAAAAACTCATTTTGTGAAGAAAAATATGTTCAAAGTATTTTATTGATGTAGACTACATGTAAATTCTAGTGGATGCATATAAAGTTTCTAGAATTATTTATATATTAAACTATTTGATCCATTTCTTGGCAATTTTGCTCTTGGAAGGATCCTGTGCTTATTTCTTTCTTTTTTTCCCTTTTTTTCTTTTCTGTGCAGTATTTTATCTGCCAGGTTATTATAGTCTACTCTTTGTGTTCAACATGGCTTTTACAGTCTGTTACTTTTGTGTGGCAATTCCTTTATCAAAAATCAATTTATGTTTGTGTAACTGAATCATTTATTCCAGCCTGTTTTGTGACTACTACAGCAAATAGTGAACACTACGTGTGTATTTAAGTTATCTTGTAATATTTATTTTCAAATTGATTAAACGAAAGTGCAGTCTGTTGGGATGAATTTATCAAAGTGTTGAAAAGAATTCTTATTTATCGGGTTATTTTTTAAAAGATGAATTAGTTTATGTGTTATATCATTCAAGCATCTAACTTATCAATGTGTTCCATTCTAGGGATTGGGATAAAACGAAATGAATTATTTTTCTTTTCTTTTTGTAGCCATGTTGATTTGCGTGGATTAGTACTTAGTGACAGCACTGGTTTATGCCCTGTTGGAAGTACTGGTCAAAACCAGCAGCTTCATATTTCGATTTGTGTCATGTTTTCTGTGCCAATATACCTATTTAGCTTTGTACAGCGTGGTTATCTGTACTAAAGTTAAGCAGGGCTGTAGTTTTACCTTATAGACCTTATCTTGTATTTAGTAATTTATTGTCAAACCACCTAACTTAACAAAAAAAAGAAAAGGAACATAGTGCAAGAGACTTGTTTAATAACAATATGCAGCCCTTTATCTTATTTATTGTCAAGAAGTTTCATCAATCTATCAACGTTATTTGTTGGTAGTAATAATATATTTGTGAATATAGTACTTGTGCATATGTCATTGATTTATTTAACACTGCCTGTTTGGTTTCATTATATTCTCACTATTCAACCTGGAATAATCCCTGCAAAATGAAGTCGTAGTTACATGTATGATTGATTTAACTCATTATTTATCACATTTATTTTTCTGACTCCCTGTAACTGAAACTGTTAACAAAATCATCACCATTGAAATCTACTTAAGGTTGTTATTTTTAATGCTGATTATTGTATTGCACACTGCTGTTATGCATATGCTAACTTGCCTTATGAAACTTAGCAATTTTTTAACCATAGCCTTACCATTTAAGCCTCTGCTTATTTACTGTCTGTGCCTTTCTCTCTTGTTATCTCCATACACTCAAAGTGACTTGGGTTTCAGGAAGTCGTGGCATGAATCAATTATGTCGGCTAGGCTGGTGTTAATTCGAGACTGTAGACTTCTGAGCCAGGCTCTTGCTTAGAATTTGTGGTGTAAACTTCAAAACAAAGCTGTCTTGATTAGACTGAATGTTTCGATTTGTATTCGTCTTGGTGTTCTATGATATAAACAAATTATAAATCTACTCATGTAATGTACCTCGCAAAAACAGAGAGGTTTCTTTTCCAAGACATTTCAATTATTGTTCAATAATGTTTCAATTATCTCTTCTATCTTGAATGTTCAAAGGAAAGGCAACATTTGAAAAATATTTTGTCCATTTCCTTGGTTTGCCTAAATCTATGCAATATGAGTAAAACCATGTGATACTGATATAATTAATCTTCCAATATTAGTAGATCTAAAGCACAAATGTCTTCCCTCGATTTTGAGCTCATTTCTAAATTTTTGTTGAAAATGGTGCTCACATAGATGATGTAGGGAAAAGGAACTAAACACAAAACCAAGTGCCTCTGGGTTCATTTAGAATTGACTCAATGACAGTTATTAATTTGCTCTTTCTAAAGTTCAAACTTATTCTGAACCGTCGTTTATATTTAACATGAGAAAATCGTGCTCATCATCTTGGCTGTGCCATCTGATTCTATTTACTTGTACAGTATAGATATTGTAATTTATTGTAAAATGTGAGGCTCGTCCTCAAAGTTTTGACAACTCAAGAAGGTTGAACATTTCACATACATGTAGCCTCCTTCCATTGAGGACTAGGAATGAATAAGTGCAACTAGATCTAACTCAGTTTCACACCACAATAATTTATCACAAACAAATTGTAATCCAGATCTGTTATTAAAAAAGTGCCTTGTTTTCAATCATTCGTTGAAAAGAGATTCCCATTTCATATTGTTCCATTAGCTTTTTAAGATCTAAGATTTAGTCCTGTTACTTCGTCCAATGCTTATCACTATGTGATCAATATTATGCATTTGGGAACTGGTTGTTGGAGAAATGTTTGAGTTTGCAAGAGTTGTTAATGTATTATTTAATTTTATTAATAAAACCGAAGAAAAACCTACAAAAAACTTTATCAGTCTAGTACAGTATTTGTATTCGCGTTATAGTCTACTTGTGTATTTTTATTGGAACTAGGGATACATTTCATCTTCTAAATTGTTTGGTTATTGGTGGAGGGAAGGGGAGGGGGTAGAAGAATTATACTTGCTGAGAGAGTGGAGTAAAATGTGTGTGTGATTGTGACAGATAATCCTTTTGGAGTGATGGTGTTTTATATGCAATCTAAAAAAGGAACCCCAGTAGGCGATCATGGAAATGGTTTGTCGGATTGCTAGATCTATGTGTTGACGTGCTTTTTTTTAAATTGTGATGTCTGTCGAGCCTGACCGTGATAAATGTTCTTTTGTGTATGAGCTAACATGCGTGATGTGCTTCTTAATTCAGACAGGGTGATCTTAATCTGTTGTAATTTTAATCCAGATCTAGTGCCGAGTTGAAATATGAGAGCAGTCCCAATTATCAAATTTACCATCCACTCCGGGGAGATGCAGGAAAAAATGAATTCAATATTCATTCTTTAGTTTTACATGCAGAGTGCACTTGTACTATGCTGTAGGCATGTGAAAATATATCTATGAAAATGTTTTAAATTATGGGACAAGCGCATCCTTGTTGCTGTTTTTTTTTAATATCAAAACTTCCTTACTACCCGAATGGACTTATTGTTTAATTATTGGGCCCGCCCTGATACGTTAACAATTTTTAACCGAGAGGGTGCCCCCCCCCCCCCCACTCAGTGTTATTTATGGTACGCATATGCATGTTCCCTCCCTTTGAAAGCACCCCCCCCCCCCCCCCCTTCCCCTAAGTCCGGGGTGTAGAGTCAATACGGGCCGATTTTTGTGTATTGCGAGCCGGACTTTGCTGCGTGATAAGTACCCTCAGTTTTACCGGCGATGTTTCCCGTAGTAGGGGGAGGGTGCATTATAAATTATAGTTGATATAATACACTGAGTCTGAACAGTGGTATAAGATGGCCAGTCAGTCGATATATAATAGTACCCAAATCAATGAGCTAGCCAATTTAAATCTCCATTAGAAAGCAGAAGAATAGAAGGGAGAGAGAGCGAAAAGAAGTTGTACTTTACTCCTTACAACAAAAGGCAATCTAAAGGTATTGATTTTTTCGGCCTGCGGGCCGGTGAGTTCCTTTCATACCTGATTTTTGTGGTGGCTGTATAATATCACGTGACTGCAAACGGAGGGAAAGGCAACGTTGCTGATAGAAAGATAAGGACCATGTTTTTTAGTACGTTGTACGCACGTTGTACGTGTATGCTGAACGCGACGTTGACCATGTGCGTCCCATAGCCGCTACATGACTGTAAGCGAATGAATATATCTGCATTTCTCTCGCTATTATCTCTTCTCAATTTTCTGCAAATTCATTTTATCTTTTTCTACGGATGAACTGAAAACAAAATGAATAAACTGTAAACACAATAAATCGCTACGAAACACGACTGAACGTAAACAAAAATTGATTACGTCAAACTTGGGCATGGTAAAAAAAATATAGACTAGACTCTATAGACACGTTTATCATTATTTAGTAAACCACGCCCATAATGATCCACCTATACCATAGAGATATCTCTATGACCTATACATACACCCATGACACGATTACGCGCCATACCAAGTAAGAAGCGCGCCATTTCGCACAAAATGATGGAGGTTTTTTTTTTAGGCGCGCTAAAATAATATTTGTAAACAAAGAGAGATATGTGGTAGATAATAGAGTTTCTGGTGTTTTCTCTCTCCCCGTTTCTTTCTTTACTTTCTTCAAATAATTCAAATCATTGCACAAAGCCAATCCCCACAGATAGTACCTACAACTTGGCCTACCATGCACCTTTCTGTCTCTCGTATTAGGTTTATATCGACACCTCCTTTGATTTTCACGAAGTTCGCCATTCTAGAAAAGTTTGTCAAAATTCGTTTTTCCATTTGCATTTCTAATTTTAGCTTGACACAACAAATCGCAGGGGGGATTCGTTATAACAATGTGAAATCATAACACTAATTTGCCCACGAGGTTTTGGCTAAAAAGAGAAGTTGTGATTAATGCCCGTAACAAGCCCAAGTTTGGATAACTTTCTAGCCTCACATCAGACGGAAACACATTTTTTCCTCTTTCCTCATGCGTCACATCCACCTAGCTTTGGTTGGCAGCGGGATATCGACTAGGTAAGCAAACTGTGTTATGTGAAACGAGTGAAATGATTTTGTAGTAATATACCAGCGTTTCAAGATTTTATACTGGAAAGTGATATCGGATATGGGTCTCGCTCAAATTTTAACCATAGCCCTTCAGTGAGAGTTATTATATTTTCCGCATTCTTTTTCATCGATATTAAAACACCTTTCACTTTTAAGTAAAGGCCTACTTTATTCAATTTCTGATTCTACCTCTTTCCCGCCATCAAGTATATCGTTGATTTTTATCTATTTTGATACTTTGGTAGTTGCTGTACCCCCCCCCCCCCCCCCCCCCCGGTTAGGGACCCGGGCAGGCTCGGATAAACATGCATTTGAAGCAATCGTACTGTGCTCTGCACCATGGAGCTATAAGAACAAGAAGGGCGTTAACGCCCATAGTATAAACAGGGATAACGCCATTACGCCCATATGACTCTCAGTATTTATTTTGTTGTGTATCTGTACCAGCTAATTAATACTTGGTAATGGCCTGTTTACTACGAAGCACTAGACATGTGTTTACACATTACTCGCTACTAATTACCACCCAATTGGAGCAAATTACGACACGGGACGTTTTTACGACTAAACTTCAATTGAGTTTGTCAGGAGAAGATGAATCATTGACTGTGTGCGGGGGTATGCAATAATACCGCAAAAAGCTCCCTCTAGAAAAGGTGCATTGAGGCTTGGAGAAGTTCACAACTTTTACGTAAACAAAACGATGAAATATAGATATAGCTATGTAATGTTATTGTTATCAATTCATAATTCAAATAAAAACTTAAATTACCACCGATGTATGGTAATATTTAAAGATACCATGTCCCTTTTGCAGCCAACATCAAATTCTGTAGAACTTTGCAAGAATTATGAATATGTCATGTATGTCCTATCTGTGAAATATACTCCATCGTATGTACTCCATTCCAATAATCTCCATTCCCCTACCTGCTAAATCTCTTACATCTAACCTGTCCAACGCACCCCTTCTGTTCAGAAGTCAATGATAGTATATAAGTTGTAGTAGAATTAGTAATAGTAGAAGTAGTAACGATGCTACTACTAATAATTATAGTGATAATAATGATAAATATTATTAATAATAATCAAAATAATAATAATAACAATAATGAACATAATAATAATGCTGTTAATATTACTAATAGTACATGAAGACATGAATCTAAATTAGCCTGGAGAGAAAATTCCTGAAATATCATTTTGATAATAATAATAATGATAAAAATATTACTAATAGTAAATGAGCACATGTATCTAAATTAGACATACAATTCCTGAAATATAATTGTAATAGCTTTTAGTTCTGGTCCTGAACTACAAACTTCTGGTTGAGGACAATGCCCAAAAAACAATGGTAATACAGTAGTACTATAGTACGGTAACTCGCTTCTTGTACTTCTGTTTTGTAGAATGCCGCTGAAGAATTTCATGCATCCAAGTGCACAATCTTCAACGGTGTGTGTGTAGGGCAAAACCATTTTTTATTTCGCTAGATCAGAACTACATATATACCGGTACCGTAGATCCTTCTGTTTTGAGCCATTATTTTCCTGACGTTGACATTCACCCCATAATTTGACCTCTTCCAGAACGCTCTCTGGGCTATCACAGGCGGGCTTTGGGCCAACTGTGCGTGACGTCACCATATCTTTTTGCCTTGTTGACGTCATCAATTTTTTTCCGAACTTCTTCAATTTCTGCTTTCTCTCTCTCTCTCTCTCTCTCTCTCTCAAACATGGGAAAAAATTCATGACAGGTGGAATCGCTGTCTTCTCACGCTCTTCAAATCATTATTTCTGTATTCTATGTCCGGAAATACATAAGCATTTTTCAATACTTCTTTACATATTGATGTTTGATGTTCATGGTCATATGTTCTCATTTTCTTTATTGCCGAAGTATCAATAAAGTGAAGCACCAACAATATGTATACATGTATCTTTCTAATATTATCAGTATCATCCAAATACACAATTCAAGGTAACAATTATCCCATGCGTATCAAATACCCAATTATTGCTAGCTATGCTTGCTTAATATACATTATGTATAGTATACAGTCATGTTGTATATAAAAATTATTAACATAAAAATTAACATTTTAATTACGACTGGCTGGCTCACAGTATTTAAATTTATTGGACATACATGAATCTACCCATCATATTATTTCTAGATCCCCCCTTTTCATTTCATTTCTGCATGGGTTTCTTTATTTCTTCCTAATTCTATCTTGAATGTCATTAAACTCTTCAAGTTTTGTGCTGATGATATTTCTTCCGTACTCATCTCAGACTTCCCGTTCTGAGTTTTTGAAGTGAACTTTTCCGATGATTTCCCTCAATAACGGAAATCAGATGTAAATGAAAAAATAATGATTACCCGTATACCCACTTCTCTTCCGTACATTTTCCTGTTTCGGTTTAGTTTTCCTCTGCACGCGATCAAAATACCCAAGCAAAATCCATGGGCATACAGTATTACACAAAGCATGTATATGTACTCTCCAAATATTAATATATATATGTTTGAATGTGAAGTTACTGATAATACAAAACAAATGAAGAAAAAAGTGGTCAAGATGTTGTCTTCTCCTTTTCAAAATCTCAAATCAAATCGTTTCTCCTTCTTAGAAAATGATAACATTCCCATGTAGCCTAGTGATGATTTGATTTCTACGTCGTTCATCGTTTTTTTTTTATTGGTTTCATAACCATGATAATGTGAAACAAAATAACCATAATAGGAAAGACCTTTTAATCCTAAACTTGAGAAAGAAAAT